CCCCCCCCCCCTGATATCTACTATTGGTGCTGTATTGTTAAACGTTCTTCTGCAGTTTTTGATTTTGCTGTAAATTTTACGAGTTCAATTTTTTGTGGTTTTGATTGAAACAAATGGAATAAATTTTCCTATTCCAATTCGAGTTTTACTATACAAGTGAATTGAAATGTAATGTGAAATGGTTGTAAATCAGAAAAGGCATGAACAAATAATAAATCCTATGCTATTATAGTGAGTCCCGGTGAGTAGAAGCGGGACTGGTATGATATCCACCAAACTTGGTGATGTATCTATCGGGGCTGTAAGAGAAAAGACAACAGGCAATAATGCCAGAACAAAGATCTCTATATTTTCTGATAGGCAATCTGTCCTCAAGGCTCTGGAGTTTACCTCTTCACATCAAAAAACAGAGTACCATAGAACATTTTATGATCTAGCCAAACAGAATAGGGTCCCATTAACGCACTCATTCTTGTAACCATCTGATCCCAGGATTGTGAACGCCAAACGGGGTGGCACTTACTCTCTCAACCGAGGTCAAATAACCTTGGAGTTATTCTAAATAAGAACTGAACTGGAAGCGATACATTTCAGACCGCTCCAGGAAGGCCAATACGGTATTGGAAATACCGCACTGTATGCTGCAGGACGGCTACACAGCAGCGATAAAACACAGAGACAAATTGAAACGAGTGAAGGGGACGGCCGCCATGTTCGTCACAAGAGCACTACACCCACCAAATATCTGGAAATAATGTTTAATCTATCACCTGAAGATCTCTAAGGCTAATTTCGGGCCGGATGCAGTGCGAACAGGTTAAATACGATCCAGCCTTGAGGATACCTCAGATTCGGATATGAAAAAGTACTTGAAACTCTACCGGATAATCTACGACAGATAGATTATACAACTCCTTAACCACAACAACAAATACTCCAAAAGAATCCCAGAGAGGAACGAATGGGAAGGGGCCACTGATTTAAACCCCGGGTCAATGGCTATATATACAGATGGTTCCAAACTTAACGAAAGTGTGGGTAGCGGGATTTACTCAGGCGAACTCGCGCTAAACCTGAGATTTCACTTAACGGACCATTGTTGCGATTTTATTATATTGATCACTGCTAAACGGCCTTTCGCCATTTTGATAGCCAGGCTGCTATCAATCACTTAAATCTAACGGAACAACGTCCGGAGTAGCAGTAGTAGAACTCAGCAAGACTCAACCTACTGGCATTAAAATGCTCCTTGACTGTTTTATGGGTTCGTGGATACAGGGACATTCCTGGCAACTGCTTGGCTGACGAGCTGGCAAGGAGGGCAAGGGAAATTTCCGAAGTCAGTTCTGCCGAAATTGCGGGCATGCCTCTAACCTCCTGCACGCACAGGCTAAAGGCCGAACTCATCGAGGAGGTAAATACCAGGTAGGCTGTGGAAACCACCTGCCATACTACCAGGCACATTCGGTCAAGGAATGATGTAAAGCGATCCATAGCTCTAACTCGGTTGGACCGCCCTTCTCTCAGATTAGTTGTCGGGGTAATCACCGGAAACCTGACTCACGCAAAAAGGTTTGCTTACCCCCACCAACGATTTTTTCGCAGTTGCAGTGACGAAGAGGTGGAGAGCATCAAGCACTATCTCTGAGGCAGACACCCCATTTATTTGACCAATTAAATTATTTTATATTTTCTAAATTTTATTATTTTATTTTCTGATTTAATTTTTTTTCTTGATTCATTTCATTTTTGGGGACTGCCATGCTTAATTTATTGCGAGCTATTATCAAGTGTCACCTGTGCAAACACAATATGAAAGAGGAATTAGTCCGATAGGTGGTAAATTAGTGTTTTTTTTTTGTTAAATTACTTACTACTGTTTTTTATTACATTTTTAAATTGTGATCATTTGAAAGACCGATGTCAAATTGCCTTATTATTTTTCAAAATATAAATTAAGTTGGAATTAAAAAAATTGTATACGCACCCATTTGGAATGAGCTGCCTTCTGGAAAAATCAAATAACGCTTTTGACGGTGAAGCACCAATTCCTTACTCGCCTGTTGCTGTTGCGGCTGCTTCGCTTGCCAAGCAGCTTCATGTTCCACCACTCCACCAGCATTTTCACTCGACTTCGATGCTCCTGCAGCCATCTCCATCTGCCTTGCCATCATAGCTCCCGCTGCTGCTTGGGGTCGCTGGCTAAATTCATTGTGTTGATTGCTTATATTAATTTCATCATCAAAGCGATTATGGCGCTGTGCGGCAGTAGGAGGGGCCAGCAAATTATTATGATTGCCATGAAAGGCGGCAACGGTATAATTCTCATCAACAGCATCAATTTCAGAAAGTTGCCGTACTCGACTGTCTATACGTGTAGTGTCGTTGTTTTTATTGTTGCTGTTGTACATTTGATTGCTGCTGTTGTTCGTGTTAATCGTTGCAGCAAATTCGTTTGTCAACAACGCAATATCAACGCTGCTGACCATGTGCCTTGCGTTAGCGTTCTCGCTAATATTTTCCAAATTTTCACTTTTGTTCTTGTAGTTGGTGATATTTTTGTATTTAATCAACATTGTTATCGCATTGCCAAGCATCAGCAGTATCATGAAAATGCCGATGACAGCCGCCAATGCAATAATCCCACTTCGCCAGGGGCTGCTCACCTTGGGCGCAGTTGAGCAGTTGTAGAGGGCGGTGCGTGGCGTGCGGCTTGCGAAAGTCATTGCCACTGGCAAATTTATTCAGCAATTTTTCGTAAATTTTATTTGTAGATACTTATTTGTATACTTTGTTTTTTTTTTTTTTTTTTAAATTAACTTCCACTGTGGTTTGACACTTTTTGCGTTACGTTGCTTGTTGAAATGCAATTTTTCAATTTGATTTCGCAATTAATTTTCGTTATTTGTGCTGTTTTTGTAACATTTGTTTGCTTGTTTGTTTTGTTTACTGATGTTCTGAGTTTTTGTTGTTTTACCGAATTGCAATTTTTCAACCTCAATCAACAAATACGAGTAGCATTAGCACTGGTGTGGATAAAATCCGAAAAAATAAAGTTATTGCAGAATATTTGCATAATGATAAATATCAATTTTCGGGAAATTCAATCAGATAAATGATTGTGAATTTAGAAAATATGTGGGGAGAATATAATATTTCGCAAATGAAAGCTTCCATGACGGAAAGTAAAATACATCTCCTTGAACGGAATTTTGAGTGAGTTAAAGCTGGGTTTTGTAAGACTTAGACTTGACTTGTCTTAATTAGAATCTTAGAAACGATTACTCAGCATATCACTAATTATATTTTCTCCTTGTTTTGAAACTCAGCACATGTATTTGTACACGTAAAATTGTAAACTTTTAATTTGTTTGGTTTGAAAATAGATAAAAAATTACAATTAAAATAAATGTAATTACGCGTTAAACAATATTAACAAAAACCGTATAAATGCTAGTTTAAATCTTTGTGCAATATTAAAAAAAAAATCGAGCTTTTTAAAAAGATTATTTTTTTTAAATATTTAAAGTATGCAGTGTTGTAACCCATTAAATTTTAGTGCAACAGAGTGTAAGTTTGAAGTAGCTGTGACCTGCCGTGGATTTTTGGCCAACTTTTTTTGTTTTTATTCATATAAAAAACCATCGAACGTATTTTTTACGGAATAAAATGACTGGCATCGTCAACAAAAACAAAAAAAAAAAAAATTACAAAAAATCAAGGGAAAGCCTTAGCTACTGCAAACCTACACTTTTTTATACCAAAATTGATTGAGCTACAAAATGCATAATCCTAATCTTTCCATTTTATACAAAAACAATTAAGTTTAAAAAATAATAAAAAAAAAATAGTCAAAACTTGTCAATATGTGAGTGTCGTATAGTTGTGATAAGCACTATAGGATTCAGTAAGAAAAGATTCAACCAGCAACTCAGATCAATATCTGCTCGCAATCTAGACATTCACCTGTCTTAGTACTGAGCGAAATATCTGATTTAAAATGCAAGGAAGGCTCGACGTTAAGAAGCTGCACTCACAAGAGAAAACCAGCATCTAGGCCACTCGACTTCCATATCTGCTTTGCGAGAGAAATTGGTAGGACGAGGAGTGCCACGACACTGCAGAGAAAAAATATGAAGTCTACAGAGTCTCGCTACGATCGAGTGCAACGCGAATTATGTAGGATAGATATGGGGAGCTGAAGAGAGAAGTGAAGAAGCGAGATGATACTTTTAGCCGGCCTAAGAGGAGATAGGACATGTGTGTTTGAAGAGCTTTAAATCCTGAGAGATAGGAGGTTGGGTTAGGTTACTTAAGATGGAATCCCTGCAAGTGGCTTCATGGTAAAGCATGGGGGAAATCCCCCAAACTGAAATTTTAGTCAGTTAAAGTATATGTAGCTATTACAGAAGCTATGCGCACCTGCCCAACGAAAGCAGCGGTAATCATCACAGGTATACCACCTCTAGACGTACTAATTGACTATGGTGCTTGCTGGAGCGCTTTGCGACGCAGAAATTTAGTGAGCATAGGGAATGACCTCACAGATAAAATGTTACGGAAATTATCCTTCAGCAAGCCCTACAAGGTAAAAATTATTCCGGAAAGGAACACTTGCAGAGAGTTATTCAAAACAATTGTCAAGGGTACAAAAAGTCGGGTATACTGATAGATGCTTGCTCGATAGAGCCGGTACTGGGACCGGTGTCAGACAGTACTAAACGCCCTGGACCCTTTCTTTTCTACATCTACGCTTGTATCACGCATAGCAGGGTAGTCGCCGTAACGTTTACCTCTACAAAACCGAATTATTACTATTTACAAATAGATAATATACTCCAATTTAGACATCCTCTCCCTATCAAGCAATGCAAAATATCTGGGAATCATCCTAGGCACTAAACTAAACTTGAAACTTGACGTTGAAAAACGCAAGGAGAGGGCC